CTCCCTTAAAAGTGTCTCACTAAAAGCAAATTTTTTGCTTGGACAAACTCTAATACTCCTTCTTTCCCTGCAGGCTGCCTGTCATAAGGAGAGACACGTGTCTCGGAAAGCTGTCTCCTTCATCCATGACATCCTCACTGAAGTGCTGACAGACTGGAATGAGCCTTCTCATTTTCACTTTAATGAGGCACTTTTCCGCCCCTTTGAGCGTATTATGCAGCTAGAGCTGTGTGATGAGGATGTCCAAGACCAGGCAAGTCAGCCCTGATCAGGGTGTCTGTATCTGGCCTACCACGCCCATAAGAAGGATGGTCTCCAGAGTACACTTGATCCACTTGAGTGTTTCCCAAATTGCCTTCGAATGGTGCCCCTTAATCATCTTCAAGGAATCAGGAGGGCTCTGCCTACCTAAGCCAGCATTGTGGTAGAGCACAGAGACAGTACACCTGACTTTAAAGCAATTAAATAAAACTTTTCTGTTTTATTTATTTAATAGATTTCTATTTTATTTAAACTTTTTCAAAAAAAAAGATAATAAATGAGTCTAGACTGACACAGTGAAATCTAGGAATGTGTTTAAAGCCATCCTCATTCCTTCTGAAGGTCCATCTATGTATTAGATCTGTTTTTTGGTTTTGTTCTTTTAACCTCGCCTACACTGTCTGCAGGTGGTCACCTCTATAGGAGAGTTGGTGGAAATGTGTTCTACCCAGATCCAGTCAGGATGGAGACCCCTGTTCAGTGCCCTGGAAACAGTGCACAGCAGCAGCAAGTCAGAGGTTAAAGAGTACCTTGTAGGAGAATACTCTGTGGGTAAGGACTTACTGCACTGACTGTTTCATATGTGCTTTTGTTTCCCTGTCTTATTCCTTGGGGACACAATAACTAACTCAATATATTTAAATGCCCTACCTGAACAGTGGCACTTAGCAGTGGCATTCCAATACTCCAGGACTGTACTGAAGTATCTGGTTTATTAGTTGGGATATTAGAGGTATTGTTCTGACTTTTTATCTTCTAGATTCTGGCAGATGAGTAGAATGAAAAAGAAATGTTTCAAGCCTACTTGAATATTTTTTAGCAAACCAGTAGAGCAGGAGTACTGAGCTTGGCTGGGCCCTTGTCACTGTCCTGCTAGAGAAAGGAAAGCATACTGTATACAACCACCATGTCTCATGTAGACTCTCTTTCTTACTATGTGAAACCTAATGCTCTTACATATCAGGGTAAGTTAGTGTGATAATCTAGGCAAGTGCTTGTCCAGGCACTTAATCACAAGGCTTCAAATTGCTAGCGCTATTACAAACCATGTTTGCTGTAAGAATGATTCTGCATCCCTCCCAGAGATGTATGGAAATTGGATAATATGGGAAAATCACTTTAATCTGTTCTTTTGCTCCATTAGAAGGTATTTTTAAATGTTACAAGTCATGTGTAAGGGATATGGTTTTCCTCCTAAATTTTGTCTTTCAGATCTGTTATGATCAATGGCAAAATGGAAGCGTATACAGCTTTTGAAGACTGATAATCTACTTGGGAAAAGCAAGGCTATTTTCTTACTGTATAGTCTGAATAGTTTTCCGTGTGGCTGCTGTCATCTTGGCAGTTATCAAGAACTAATCCAGAAACCTCCACCAAACAGAAGTGTTAGCTACTGAGCTGAGTTCAAGAGCTCAAACCTGCTCTTACCATTTGGGCAGGCATAAGCTGATATTTTTCATAGATAAGGCAAAGGAGGGAGTCTGTATTACTTCCTGTGAAGGGCTACACGAGTTGCCTCAGGAGCAAGAGAAGGTTTTACTTCTAAGATCATTTCTGTCTGCCCACAATAGAAGAGATTCTACAGATTCAATTAAATTGTTGAAAAACTGTTGGAAAATCACCTTTATGGGGGATGGGTAGGAGTTCTCATCTTGTTATTTCCACAGGGAAACGCCAGGCTCCGGTGTTTGATGTCTTTGAAGCATTTCTAAACACAGACAGCATCCAGGTCTTTGCCAATGCCGCCACCAGTTATATTATGTGCCTTATGAAGTTTGTCAAAGGACTGGGTAAATATTTTTATTTTCCTTTTATCCTATTAAGTTGTGATATGTCAAACTTGATCCTGCAGAAGAGGAGAATTCAGTTATGTAATACATAGTATGGTAGGGAAGAGAGAGGCAGTGAAGAAATCGAGTCCAGAATGCTTAAAAAAAATAAAATAAAATCAAGACCAAGAGATTATTTCAGAAACATTTTTAATGCTATCAATTCTTCAAGTTGTTATAGCAGCAAAGATGCATCTCACTATTAAATGTCTGCTTCATTTGATCTTAATTTGCATCAAGACTTGCTTACATTCGTTTAATAAAAAAACCCAACAAAACAAAAAACAGAGTATTGCAGAAATGGCCTGGCATTGTGCAGTGACAGCATGGATTTTCTGCAACAGAACAGGGCATGGTTTACGTTCAGCAGTCAAAGGCACGTGGCTCCTTTCTAGCCTTGCCCACCTCAGCAGCAGTAGTTTGGCATATG